GACCGGTGGACTCGTTTGTTCGCCGGGGGGATGCAGCTTCAAGAATTGCGGTGGTCGTTTCCAGCTCTTGATCGTTCTCACAAACACTTCGTACTTGTTCAAGTTGCGTTTCTGTCGATTTTGGGACGTCATACACAAATGGCATGATGAAATTATCGGTAACTGGGACATATTTTGTTGTGGGAGAAGTGGATTGATTACAGACATCATTGGAAGCATTCGAGATAGTAGTGCATGTAGCAGCGATTTGCGACGACTCCACTGACTGCATTGATGCAGAATCTCGCCTTTCATCTATTGGCGCCGTTTGTTCAACACTGTTTTTGAGAAAATTGTTTGAGTTCAGCTCTTCAGCCCTTAGATTTTCAGAAGGTTCAGATTGAATAGTGCGGCATCCGAGCACAGAACCACCTAACGCAGATTCAGACACATCATTTGAGCACTTGCCGCTATTTGCAGGCGCCTGATGGGATTCTTCAACCTCTGGCGTTCTTGATAGCGCACACAATGGTCCTTCGTATTTTGCTGTCGATACTAAGACATCCATTTTTTCTGGTGAGCAAATCTCAGAAGGTTGCATGGATTTCGATGTTGTAACTCGAGATCCAGAAGGTGAAGAAGAATCAAGACAATCATGCTTGACCTCAGAGGTTGCTTGCCGGTTTTTCTCTACTGCTGACTCCTGCTGCATGATTGTGGTCTTATCGAACTGATCAATTTGTTCGCGTAAAATCTCATAATCCGGAATATTCCGCCGAGTTATTGGTTCAGAGAAACGTCGATCCGTCAAAGGAGTCAAGGGTTTGGTGTCTTTATTCTGACTGCCGAATGGGATCTTAGAGCTTTGAACGCTGCTCCCAAATGCGGTGTTGTCAGCTATTTGCTCTCGAACAGTAACTGGACTTCCATCTGCCATCGGAGGTATTTGCCGATTATCGAGTACAGTACTCGATAAAAGAGTGCATTTGGGATCCTCAATTCCACAAGAGGCACTTTCTTGTTTTTGATTCTCAGTCGACGAACCAACCGTTTCCTCCCTTCCACTTCTCTCAGCGGTATTTGCAACATCCTGTCGACTGTCCACAGCCATGCGAAGTGTCGAAGTATCCGACAGTATTGCCGATTTTTCCCTCACCGATGGAAAGGATAAGAGATTAGGATTCGAAGTGCTTGACAGCGATCTCTTTACTGCTGTCGAGTGCGAATCGGCATCGCTACTTTTGCCGTCAAGCTGCGAAACTTCTCGTCCCACATTTGCACGCACTGATTCTGCGGCGGATATGCTCAAACGGGGTCTTGGTTTTGGTGACAATGCACTTCGCTGTAGTGATAAATCTTCACTCCCTGCTTTTTGGCCTTGTGTTTGTTGTTCTCTGTTGTTTTGCTCAGCTGCTTGCTGCACCTAAAACGATGGTCACGTCACCTTCATCAAATGATGAATCCATTGAGTTAAAACACTTTATGACTTCGAAAAATAATTCTTTAATAAATTTTCCACATAGCATGCAGAAAAAAATCCCGATGAACGACAAGACAAGAGAGCAAAACTGATGATGCATGAACAAAACATGACACTCGCGCAACAAATACCTGTTTCGCATCGCGCTGTCTCCTCAGT